AAGAATATTATTTTCTTAGTAGTGCAGAGCTGTAGATCTGAAACAATACTCTGTATCAGGATGCAATAGGCATTTTGCTGCTTTCACTTGAGGTATCCAATATGATCATGAGGACTACCTTGTTTAAAAAAAAAAAAAGAAGAAGAAGAAAAAGCAGGGTATAATGCCAGTGATGGAGAAGGAGCATAGTGCCCAGTCTGCTGCTGCAGCTCTCTAGCAGGGAGGTCATGGGAGACGTGAGATAGCAGCCTCTGAATCGACACTGCGGGCTCAGCTCTGTGACTCACAGCCATGAGACCTTGGGTAGCTCTTTTGTGGGCAAGTAAGTGCTCAACGCTCAAAAGATAATCTAACAAAGCCTGCTCCCTGTGACGCTAGCAAAGCTTAGCCATAAAAATTGTGTCACTTCTGGCAAGAAAGAATCTTACTCTGCAGTGTCCATAAAGACCCCCAGACATTACTGGCCTGATGTCGTGGAGACTCGTCTGTGACTCATCCGCATCCTTCCCATTTGTGCTTGCTCGTGTACTTTTTAGCTGTAGACTCTTAAAAAGAACTGATTTCCTGCAATGTCTTACACAACTATGCCTTCAAGAGGAACTGGCTTCAATTAATGTGGACACCACTTAATATTCTTGCTCGTGTGAAGCAGAAGCTGTGTTGTGCCTTCAGAAGACTGTGCTGTGTATGTTCCAGAATGGATAAATAGTTCCATATTTCCACAATATTTCCATCTATGGGCCACATTCCTTGGAAAGAAAAATAAATTATTTCTGGCATATAAAATGTGATATAAATGCATCCTTTAGAAAATACCCCAAGACATTTGGGAAGATTATTAAAATCAGAAAATATTTTAATTATCACAATGATTTTAATTATTATGTATTATTATTTTAATTAATGGTTTAAATAATCATCAAAATTATGATTAAAATCATCACCATAAAGCAGGTATTACAAATATCTATTTTTATTTATTACAAGTGTATATTTTGGCAATTGCTAAATTGACCTGGTGGAGATGCCAGATGGGCGAGATGCTGTACATTTACAGCACCATCAAGACCTGCTTCAAGAAACTTTATCTCTAGGCAGGTATGAGGAGAAAAAGAGGATGCACGCTCTCAATTTTAAACTGTGGCAAACAAAAAGACTACCAAAGCCAGATATGTTAGTGTAATGCTTCAAAAACAAAAGACCAGCTTTTCTTACAGTTATTTCGTAATTAGTTTTTTTACATAAGTGACAGCTGCTTTTATGCCAAGTCCCAGTCTCATCAGGGAAAATGGCAAAACTCCCAGGATAACTAGAATTTTTCTCTTTATACAGAATTCATTGGAGAACATTGTATTTATCCCTTTTCTTTTAAATCATTCTTTTAAATAGATTGGTGCAAAACCAATAATTTTAGGTTTAGTAAGTAATTATTTACAGGAGGGGCAGAATTTTTGTTTAAAACACTCAATTGTTTGCTTCAAGTATGCTTGTGTGTCACTGAGTCACCAAACCACAATTAAATTCTGGGAAATGACTTATTGTTAAGGTTCACGACGTCCCATGACGTGGTGGGATGGGTCAGAGTCTGATTTTAATTGGAGGCCTGATCTAAATTTGTACCCTCTCAAATCTGGATTGACAAACTGTGAAGGATTTTGAAGTTCCACAAGATGTCAGCAGCAAAAAGAAAGACCATGCATTGTCGCCTTTGGTTGTCTGGTTTGTACATGGCAAATATCAAGCAGAGTATTTGGTCTTCCCTTATAAGATTAAAAAGATTCCATCTTTTCTAGGAGCCCAGATGAAGTCTTGGGTGGCTTGAATAGGACAAAAGACAAGGAAAAAACACATTGTCATACATATGCTGGAGGATATTTTACCAGTTCACGGACTTGTTAGAGTTGGAAGGGATTTCTGGAGATCATCCAGTTCAACCTCCCTGCCAAGGCAGGGTCACCTAGAGCGGGTTACAGGTGACACAGGAACGTGTCCAGATGTTTTAAATGTCTTCAGAGAGGGAGACTCCATGACTTCCCAGGGGAGCATGTCCCAGTGCTCTGAATCCCTCACGTAAAGAAGTTTATTCTTGTAAAACTTTAGTAAGTTTTGCATTGTGCTTGCTTTGCAAATAGAAGGAACATTATATCCTGAAATCAGTAATTTCCATTCAATATAATATACTACAGGGAAAAATATTTTCAGATTTCTAGGAAATTAGAAAGGACAAAATAAATTGTCTCCCTGGGGAAGTGGTCACGGTCCCAAGCCTACCAGAGCTCCAGGAGCCTGAGGGAATGCTCTCAGGCAGGTGGTGCCATCCGCAGAATCACGGAATCATTGAATCTGCTGAGTTGGAGGGATCACATCAGGATCACATTCCTGGAGTTGTCCTGTCCAGGGCCAGGAGCTGGACTTCAACCATCTTTGTGGGTCCCTTCCAGCTCCGGATATTCTATGATTATGGGTTGGTTTGGGTTTTTTCCTACTTTTTTTATTTGGGAGAGGAGATTCATGCGTGTTTGTGTCTTGTTGGGGTGTTTTGTGTGTTGTTTGCTGAAGTTTTTTTGGCTCTTTATTGTTTGGTGGGTTTTTTTAAAACCATGAACAATTCCGGCCTTTGGAGTAGCAATTAATTTAATTTCAAGCTACATGCAGGCCCGCCTGGTTAAGGCAAGGAGGGACGGAGTGGGATGGAAAATCCCGGGAATGGCTCTGCGGGCTGCGCCGTGCCGCCAGGGGGCGCTGCCGCCCCGCGGGCGGGTCCTGCCTGAGGGAGGCCGCGGATCCCCCCGGGCCCCTTCCCTGTGGCGCTGCGGGGCTCCCCTTCCCTGCGGTTTCTCCCGGCGTCCCTTCCCTGCCGCTCCTTCCGACGTCCCTTTCCTGCCGTGCTGCCCTGTGCTCCGTTCCCTGCCGCGCTGCCCGGTGCCCCTTCCTCTCGGTGCCTCCCGAGCCGGCCCTCGGAGGGCGCGGGTCATGGCCGTGCCTCACGCCCCGTCTGGAGTCGCGGGCTGAGGTGAAGCGGTGGGGCCGCGTCCCGGGTACATGAATTACCCGGTACTGCGGCTCACCGGCTCTCCCGTTCTCAGCCCTGCCTAAACACAGCAGATGCGCTCGATGTTCAGCCCGCTGCTAGGGGAGGATATTTATTTCAAGGGAAAGGCTCCCTGTACGAGGAAACGGTGGCCAAGAGGAAACAGGGACAAGGCTGTGGCACTGAATGGATGGAGAGAAATAAAATCCACAAGTTTGTTTACAAAGAGCAGTTTCTTACCATAAAATGATGATCAGGACAATTTAAGAGAGGTTCTACTTCCTCTCTAAAACATCACTTCCACACTAACATTAAAAGAGAGGTATTTTCTGTTCATAGAATCACAGAATCAGCAAGGTCTTTTAGATTATCTAGTCCAAACATCAATCCAGAACTACCACAGTAACCCCTAAACCACATCATTCAGCACCAGGTCCAGATGCCTCTTAAACCCCTTCAGGGATGGTGACTCCACAACCCCTCTGGGCTACCTTTTCCAATGCCAGACCACCCTAACAGTGAAAACTTTTATGTAATATCTAATCTGAGTCTCCCCTGTCTCAGCTGAAGGCCATTTCCTCTGGTCCTCTCACTGCAGTCACACCTCACTAGATTTTCCTTCTGGTGAGTTGTAGAGACTGATGAGGTTCCCCCTGAGCCTCCTCCAGGCTAAACAACCCCAGCTCCCTCAGCCCTTCCTCACAGGACATGTTTTCTTCACAAGCCTTATTGCCCTTCTCTGGACATGCTGCAGCACCTCAGTGTTCTTTTTAAAGTGAAGTAAAACTCAACCAAAACTGAACACAGTGTTTGAGGTGTGGCCTCACCAATGCTGAGTACAGGGGGATGTTCCAGAGAGCGTGACTCTGTTCTCAGGCTAGTTTTCCACAGGCATTATTAGGGTCACTTGTAGGCCCGGGATTTCTTACTTAAAAATTCTAATGAGATCTTGTCGCTATTCTGGAGTAATGCCTTTAGGATTGTCTCTGCTTGGGTTGGATTGTTGGTGCTTAAACTAGGGAGCAGGCTGGGATCATCCAGCTGGGCACTGTGTTTTGGGCAGGAATGGCTGAACAAGGGCATGCTGCCTGTGATGCCTCCGTGTGAAAAATGTGAGGCCTGGTCTAAATACCGACATGGCTGAAGGATGTTGTAGTAACTGGTATCCATGACTTTCTCTCCTTGCACTAAATTAGCTTTCAGGCCCTCGATCTTTGCTGCCAAAGAGAAAGAGTATAGTGAGTATCTCAGTGTGTGTATGTGTGTATGGACACATGAAAGGGGGACCCAATCTAAATATCAAAATCAAGACTTTAAAATGCCAGCTTCAGTTCTTCACAGCTGCAGATGTCTTGCAAATAAAATAGACGTCGTTGTTCAAAAGTTAAGTGTTAAGTGCATGTAAATTATTTTTCTACCTTAGGAGTAAATTTGCTGTTTACATCTCAGAACTCTGTAAAAGTCAGTAGACTTTTGGGTTTCTAATGACTGGGTAATAATCGGTGTAACTGATAGAGAATTTGTAATTCCTTTGAATCCTCTGTTTTTACTGAACCTGAGAGTAATGGGCATATATCATTAGAAACTGTAAAGTAGAAACCAGTTAGCTCCTAAAGTCACATACAAGACTTAGAGGAGCTTTTGCAAAAAAAATAGTGGAAAATATTCCATTAAGTGGGCAGAAGCGTTTTTTGTTTTTTTCCAGCATCAGTAGTCATAAGCTTTTAGATGTTGCTTCCAGATCCCTGTTAACCACAGCTCCTCCAGTCCATCATATTTTGGACCTTATCTACATTTGTTACCTCATGCAGCTGAGCAAGCTGCTTTAAATTTAATGTGTTAAGCCATCAGGCCTGGACCATGCTATTCAAGATCCAGAAGGTTCCATTTTGGTTAAATGTTAATGATATTCTCCAGATGAGCATTTATGAACATATTACATGAGAGTGTTTTCCTTTTTCTTTGACAGGTGACGTTGGTGACAGAGGAAGGACAAGAATGATTACATATCCATAACTCCCAGCAGTATGTCAGGTAATCATACTTAATAAGAACATTTGTGCAATATTTCTTGCCTTTCTGGAGTGATTATTGCTAAATATTTATTGTAAAATGCTTCTTTAATGATTTCTGCGTTCTTTAGTGCTAGGAATGGAAATATTTCCTCCACCAGAGCATAGAGATGTGGGACACATAGTAATCTTGCCCAACATTTTTGAAACATTCATTGTCCTTGGTTTGCCTTCTGGAACCTAGTTGTGTTCTACATGCACATTCCAACCTCAGCATTCCTGCTGAAGCTGCCAGCACAGTAACAGTTTCTGCTGAGTATCCTGTTATTTTGTAACATGGACATATCCCCTGAGCTTCAGAGTGAGACAGTCAACGTAATTTACATAGATTGAAAAGAACACTTCAGAGAATTATGGACCAGGTCCATATGCAGGTGGGCTGAATATCTAGAGTTGACATGACCATTAACCATTTTAAGCCTGCTTAACCATCTTATCCCTGCCAGTTGTAGAGTATCTGAAGGTTGCACATAAATTAGCTGTGTCAGAGCCCCCATGTGTATAATCCCAGAACAGGGTTTCTAAAAAGACGTGCTTGTTATGTGGACATCATATAGAAGACCAGTGAATTTCAGACTTCCAGAATTTGTTTTAGTATTATCATTTTGCCTACGAAAATGTTGTACTGATACTGTTTGTCAATGTGTATTTCGAGAGTCAAATGCATAAATGGGACCTTTTATAAACCTGCAAAGTACAGCGTGTGCTACATAGGAAAAATCATCACTCACAATACTGTATTTCTGGTGTTCTGCCCAAGAGACAGTTTATTTTTACTTGACTATGCAGATCAATTTTCTTTTCCATAGAATGTTTCCATTTGTTTGTACTGACCAGCAAGGGGTAACAGCTGCATTCACCAACAAAGATGGTATTCTGACTTTAGTTTTCTAGATAAAAGGTAGAGGGTGAAATTCATTGGAAGAAACAGAGTATTATGGAAATATATGTGTTCATAGTAAACTGTATTATTTGATAATATGAAAAGGTGTGTCTTTTTATGGTTTCTTTGCTGCCCATTGAAGCAGAGACAAATGCCTTGAGGCATTTTGTGGAATAAGGTGGAATACTGACCCTTGGTTGGTGTGTCAGTCTCTGGCTTAGCATCACTGCTGCATGAGGACCCACAAGGAGTTAGTGTCCTTAGGCTGCATTGGCAGGCCATGCTTGAGTGGTTTTGCATTGTCCTGCAGGCATCCTGGGTGTGGTGATTTCATTTGGCAAATACCTGTTTTGGAAGAATTTAAAGCACTGGCATGAAACTTGGTCTGTTCCAACTCTCTATTGTACTCTCTCCTGTCTCATGCTAAACTATGTTTTATGGAGTTTTACTACAGGGCTTGACATTGCTGTGGTTTTGGAGGGAGCAATTATTAGCTTCTGCTGTGTGATGGCAACAGATGAGGAAGGAAATGCAGTGTACCCACTTTATTGTCACCTTATCCGTTGGATCTGTGGCTTCCTGTGGAGGGTGGGTTTGTGGAGATTTTCCAGTAGTACTCTATCAGTCCTGTCTCCCTGGACTTGCCCCTGGCAGGACAGCTCTGCTAAGCTCAGAGAAACACAAAAGCCTAATTGGAAGGACCTGTATTTTCTGCGTTTCTTCTGACAGAAGTCATCAGAACAAATATGTGCAAAGAAAATTACCATCAAGCAAAAAAAAAAAAGTTTGTGATGGAGATGACTGTTGTACAGCTGTAGATGTTCAGCACTTTTCATTATGAGCAGTTCATATTTTCTGTTCCTGATTATAGGAATGACATTCCCTACTTGAGTGTAAATGTGAAGAGAAGCATGGATGAAATGAAACTCTTTCAAACTTATAAAAACTTCATAAATTGATCCAGAGCAAGACAAGAGTCCTTTTCTAATGAATGATAATGGAAGTTTAGATTCTGCTACTGAGTCACTGGAATATGGGAGCAGAATCTAATACAAAACCAAACCAGATGGCTACAATAACAGGCTGTATTATTCTGTATTTTTGATAGATAGTTTTTCTCCCCATATGTTATGTTTCTACTGCAATATGTATTTTACACTTGCAGGCACTGCCTGAAAGCCTTCAGGTTCTAGTGCAATCTAGAGAAGTTTTTCTGACAGGAGATTGTAGAATTTGATCTTGACAGTAAAACCAGGCTTTAGTACATTTGCAGGTTAAAAAATTTGTTCCAAGCTTTCTTATAGGCCCCCTTCAGGTATTAAAAAGCCACAATAAAGTCTCCCCAGAGCTTTCCCTCTTCAAGGCTGAACAGTTTCAACTTTTTCAGGCTTTTGCTATGGGAGAGGTGTTTGATTCCTGTGATCATCTGGGGGGCCCTCCTCTGGACTCACAGGTTTATGTCCGTCCTGTTCTGAGGAGCCCAGAGCTGGATGCAGTGCTCCAGCTCATGAGAGGGGAATAGAGTGCCGAATCTCCTTCCTTGCTCTGGTGGCCACACTGCTTTGGATACAGCCCATGGTATGATTGGTTTTCTGGGCTGCAACAGCTGCGTTCATCAGCAGTTCTGCAGTTGACACCAACAATTGCTGCCCACAGAGTAATGTCTGAGAAAAAAAAAGCTTTATCAGCATTATAAAATTAGTACTATCTTAGCAATAAGAGCAAGTTCTTTCGTGTGCATACATTTGCACAATAGAATAGTAAAAAAGTTGGAAGGTATTATTTTCTCATTGAGAAAATAGTACTTTCAAATAGAAAGAACTTCTAAAATTATTTTACACATTTATTTTAACACTGTAATGCAACTTCTGGTTTAGCATCACTATTCACTGGCCATAGCTATCACTGAAGGCTCCCTTCTGTAAATTTTCTCCCAAAATACAGGACAAACCTTGAGACATTTTTTCATTTTACTTTATTTACTAGAGTGAAAACTGAAGAAGAAATTCAAGAATGGGTTCTAAAACCTAGAAGATAGTGTTTGTAGAATGGAGTAAATCTCATAATTTTTACCTTCATGGCAGATGAAGAGAGAATGTAAAGAGTGTAATAGTCGTTCCAGTAAAAACTGCAGCAGTTCTTTCATTGATTTCAGTAATGCTGGGGTTTTACTCTGCTTTTACTTGGGAGCTTCAAAATCAACTCAGTCATTGTGCTTGTACTCAAATATCCACACTGTTCTATTTGTTAATGACTGCAAAGTTAGATCAAGATAGGAATTATAATAAAATTAAGTGCTTACATTGGGGAATATAATTTAAATGTCATAAATGCATATTTTCAGTAAGTAGAATTTAATATGCAACGTTTCTTGAAAAAGGTCGCTCATTTGGAGAAGAAAATTAATCAGCTTTCGTGCAACAAATCCATTTGAAAACCAGTGTCTCCAAGGGTGTTGCATGTAGTTTCCAAGAACTGGGAAAAATAATAGAATAGGAAAGGTACCACATTTTCTTCATGAGTCTTGTCACTGTAAAGTTCATTACCCTGTAAACTTGACATTAATTCAGGCGGAGAACAGTTTATTGTTTAACCTCAGCTGAGAAATTATTTCTCCCGAATTTTGATAATGATTTTCTCAGGATAATTTAATTTGACATACATCACTGTCTGACACTTCTTTGCCTGCCAGACCATAATAAAATCCAACTAACTCAAGTGTATTATTTCTTTTAAGTAATGGACTTTTTAGGAGGACAGTAAATACTTTAATATAAGGTTTTGTTACACCAGGATTCAGCAGCTTTGTAATGAGCTTTTGGGGATTTTCAAAAGGTTAACAAGATTTATATTGTGGGATGTTTTTGCATGAAGCTATGAATCACTCCATGATGGCTCTTATTACTTAGAACCATATTTCTGAATATGCAGGTAAAAATATCACACTTGCTAAGTTCTAGGTTACAGACACTCTGGATCAATTTTACCTTTTTTTTGGTTCAAAATTTATTATTTTTAAAAGTGCTTTGTAAAAGTGATTTATAATACAAAAGCCAAATAGTCTGGGAAACATTTTGTAATGTTTCAAATTTTATGCAATTCTTTAATATGTTGTGTTTTCTTTCCAACTTACCTGCAGTTTTTTTTCCACAAAAGATCATACATTTTCAAAAAAAAAAAAAAAACAAAAAGGAGAAAGGGGATCTGATTAGTTTTCACAAAGAACAGAGAGAATAAACTTTTCCTTTTGTAGTAGCAGTATTTTTTTTTCAGTTTTGTAGCATTTGCTAGTCATTTTAAGTACATCTCATTGCGTTAATACTGATATATTTTCTCTATTTTGTTTTTAGTGATCTATCAGTATATTTAGTCTCTTTCTACAGTAGTTTTATTTAAGCCAGAGCTGTTTCTTCTGTTAACTCATTTTTCTGAAATTTATTTGTGATGGGAGCAGACTGTTGTGTTTGAAATTTTGAGTGTAATTCTTAAACTGTGTAGCTGTGTTTCACTGCTGGCATCAGGTTAGGAGGACTGCATAGTGTTGTCAGTGTAAAATGTACTTGTTCATTTTGCAGGCAAGAAGATTTTGGAGCAGTTATTTAAAAGGAGTAAAATGCCCTTCTGGTTTTTCTAGAAAAAAGCTTATAAAATAAAGCACTTTCCTGTGCTTGCCGCAGGAGTTGCAGCCTGCCATTTTATGATCTTCAAAAGCCTGACCACAGCTGCTGTTTAGCTCTTCTGATAACTGTGTATCAGAGCAATGAACTTGCAGCATTTGTCCTTGGTATTGATCCTGGTATGTAGAGAGGAGTGTAATTTTTTTGGTGCCAATTGTAAAGCTGTTGGTAAACTGTAGGATCAATCCAACTGGGCATTTTCCAGTTATTTCCATATAAAAATACCTTCTACATTCATTAAATGCACTTCTCATTATGTTCTTTAAGAGCATCAGATTTGCTACAGTGCTTATTGTAAAAGAAGACAAGTGTTTAAGTAAATGTTGCCATACACAAACGCCTTTCACTATTGCATTGTTATGTTTCTGAAAATGGTTTAGACCTGTACCAAGCTTGAGTTTA